GTGAGTAGATACTATAACTATCCTTAAAATCCCAAAAAGATGAAAAATGACCTTAAATTGCTTTAAACCGATCATTTTCTTTGAGAAAATATCTAGATATCAAGATATTGACATATTTACGTCTTTCTCTAACTTCACTGGTGGGATATCCCAGTTTTTTTCTATCCTTTTTAAACTTTTCAAAATGGTTCTATAACCACATAAACACTACTTAATTTCTGCAGTAAAATAGGTTTTATTAATTAACCTTTCCTTTATTAAACACAGAGAACAGTTACATCATCAATAGTCAAAACAGCAACAAATTAGAAAGTTTAAAAAAATTCTCAAATACACATTACAGCACGGGAGGTAAATTTAACACATTGGATAATAACAGATTGATCGTTGATTTATCAAATAGGAAGCTTAATATCCACGAAATTTCTTCTATTAAAAAGGGTCTTAATTTCCACGATTACCACCTTTCGATATTATACCTGCAATTAAACCAGCATTGAATTGCCTTTCTAATGAGAAAGCGGATGACGCGTGGAATGAAATTGTGGACACTTGTTTACATCAAAAACCACACATATCTAACCTGGCTAAAGATGAATTATATGCATGAAAACAGTTAAGAAATGATAGAACATTTATTATCACGAGAGCAGATAAGGAGAACACGACTGTCATTATGAAAAATCAGACAATAAGAAAAAAGCTAGAGAACATCTTCGAATTCTCCCGTATGATTCCATTAACGACCGACTATACCTAATAAACTTGAAACTGAAATAAGCAAAATCTTACAGTTCATTAAAATAAAACTATGACCATCAGAAAGTTTTAATCCTTATAGATCCTACAGACTACTAAGTATTCACAAGAATAATGAACCACTTAGACTAGAGGTTGATTTTACAAATTCACTGACACATAAACTAGCGAAATACATAGTGATGTGAACATAGAAACAAGAAGCCCTGTCAAACTACGAAAGCTATTTCCGGGACGTTATTTCATTTTATTCAAAGCTTGTAAAACAATAACATTTATTTTTGCCCCTAATCTATTCTACAAAACATAAGCTTTCGTTTGATGTATGATTCACTATCATACCCTTTTTTCTTCCAAAGCTATTGTAATTTAAACAGATTATTTTGTACTCTAATTCCCAGCTTTGGATATAATTGTATTTTCCTAATTATTGTACGTTATGGTTAGGTTAATTATCTATTTATTCACAAAAAAAACTCGGGAATAGATCGGGTTGTCTTGTCTTCTCCCACTCGCGTGCTTTCCAACCAATCAGGTGATAGAATAGTTTTCTTCTCTCTACGCCACTTCGAACTTACGTGTACTAGCCTCAAGGTTAGGCGGGCAGCCTATCGCGTCAACTTCTTAATCTAGATTAGAAAAGTTAGCCTCAGCAACAAAAAGTGAGTAACAGACCAAGGACGTAACACATAGCTAGGATACTCAAATTATAAAACGAATTGGTTAATCGTGGACTCAAAAAATCTACTGAATTCAAGAATAATATTGAAACCATTCTCATGGAAGAGGATAAATTGATGGCAAGTTTCGATATTTCTTCATTATTTCTTAATGTACCAATCAACAGAACATTGGATGAGTGTTTAGAATCCGAAACACCTGAAATTACGATGCCCGTGAGATCCTTCCGAGGTTATTAAGTGTTTAGAATCTTGTTTACGATCCACCCTATTCTTATTTCGAGGGTATCTATGGAGACAGAAAGGTGTGGCAATGGTTAACCAGTCTCTCTGATTGTAGAGAATTTATTCATGCATCCCTTAAAAACCAGTGTGACCACAAAACGTGTAAATCGACCCAAAGTTTGGTTGAGGCATGTAGATGACTCTTTTTTTCATCATTAAACGAAATGTTGTAAAAGAAATATTTGAAAACGCAAACAACATATCAGACAGCATTGAGTTAAGGAAGGAGATACAGTCCACTAACCACAAACTAGCGTTTCTTGATCTTTAGTTGAAAGAAGATATAACAGTAAGTTAAAACTTAATGTATTCATGAAATCAACACATTCTGAGAAACACTTAGATTGTAGTTCAGCTCATGCTTGTTGTGCGAAGGTCACAGTGGTGAAAGATCAACGAACTGAACTGAATATATTATTGTCTACGTTTAGGGCAAACAATTGCCTTAAAGAGCTTTTAAAGAAAATCATTCGAAATAAAGTAAAAAAGAATGGTAGAATACAGTGGTCACCCCATCCGGTAAAGAGATATCGGAAGAAATTAGGATGCTAAACAAACACAAGTGTATTTTTGGACTAGTCAAACCATAAGATCCCCGCAAAGTTAAGTATATGGTTTCGAAAGGAAGAACAACAGAATGTTGATTATGAGATCAACTGTCAAGATTGTGATGCAGCTTACGTGGGAGAAACATCTAGACGATTGAATGCGGGGATGAGGGAACAAAAACAGTGTTTGGAAAATGTTTCCAAATCCTCAGTGAATCTAAAGAAACATGAGAATAGGTCGGCGATTTCGTCCCATGAGTTACGAACAGGACACAAGATCAAATTCGAAGGGATCGAAATACTTCAGAAAGAGTTTGGCATGCATAAAGAAAGATTGCGTTGTATATATGGGCTAATAAGATCCTAAACAGAAAGGATAGTATTCAACTACCCAACCCTTGGAAGACGACGATTAACAAGTAATTAGATCCTATATCTATCCAACGAGTTTATTCCACATGCTCTGTAGTTCTGGGGGAAATTAATTTGAATATTTTATCATAACTGTGTTTGATGATTCTCGTTTAGTGTACACATCGACGTTTCAAAAGATATTTTCAATCTGCATTTTTATTCTTACTTCTAACAAAAATTAATTAACACTTAAAATCAACTATTAATAACTCAAACTTACACATATATACACACACACTATCAATCAATCATCTACATTTATTTATTTTCAGTGTGAACTATTAGTGGATTAGTTGGAGTTATACATTAGCAGTGTTGGATGCCGGCTCAGTGGTCTAGAGGTTAAGTGTTCGCGCGAGAGACTGATAGGTCCTGTTTTCGAATCCTGTGAACCGGGTCGTGGGTTCGCACTGCTGAGAAATCCCGTACTGGGGCGGAACGGCCGTTCAGTGCTTCCAGATTTTCCATGGTTATCTAGCTTGAATCGACTCACGACTTCAACTATTAAACAAATTAACAACTAATATCAACTAGTTATAACGTAAACTTACATATACACACGCATATCTTAGATTCTTTGAGCATGTTCCAAAAAGTCTTAGAACAAGGGAAAGACTCTGAACAGTGCAATCACCAAACATCTCCTTGATACAGGACATCAGGTAGATACCTTACAATCCTTTAGGGTGATTAGTAAGCAGCCAAACTCCAGTCTTCTGAAGTTTGCTGAAGCCATTGGGATCAGTCGTCAAAAACCTGACCTATGTATTCAAAAGGAGACGGTGGTTAATCTTTCCTTGCCCTGGTAACAAATATATTCCTTCATTGCACCATAAAAAATTTTTTTCTTTTTTTGTCGCATTTATTACATCATTGATTCTATTTTATTTTTTTCAACTAGCTTTCAAATTAATAATCTTTCAACTGAACTTTACTCACTACATTCCTTCTATGTTATTCATTATGTAATCGATTGTTTCTAACCCACTTTTGAACTGTTATCACAATTAATCTTGTAGAACATTCTCTCACATTAGGTATATATTTACAATATTCAGTTAGCAATTTAAACCCATTATGCAATTACGATTTTTAAATATCACAGGTTGTAAGCAGCTGACGAGAACCAACGAAATAAAATGAATTCATGCTATTCTGCTAGAATCTTTGTTCTTGCTCTTTTCAAAATGATAAAGGGAACTATGTGTATGAAATTTCTTTATTACTTTTTTAAGAGGAATTTTCTAGACCATACTTCTCAATTAACTCATTTGCCAGTAGGCAATATAAATATTTTAGGATTGCTGACAATTCACGATGTAGTAGCGTTTCATCGGCTTTACAAATAAAAAAAACTTATTAACACTTGTTCATACAATTATCACTGAAGTAATAATATAGAAATTTAAGACAACATTAAATTTCTCCGTTTTTTTAGTAAAGTCACTTTAGTAGATCAAGCGTCAATTGACAACTTACGAACACTACATAAATTATACAATGTACTCGGATTTTTATAATTATATGATTCGGTTCTGAGATTACTTGGAATAAATTATGATAGTTTTAAGATGATGACGGATAATGTATGAAATTTATTTGACGAATACATTCTATGCATCACTATGTGAAAGATTGCTGATAGAGGACAGGTTATTATGAAAGCACCAGAATCATATTATATCATTTTTTATTCAGTGAAATATACAACACTGAAATAGTTTTAATAGAAAATCTACACGATTAACAAGAATTTGATGGGTAGAACTGAATAGATCTGGTTCACAAAAAAGCTCAAACAGACAGTCACATTTACTCGAAATTTGTCTAATATGTGTTGAAGAAATTATCATTAAGAATAACAGGTTTTTCCGGTCGGTCAATTCTCTTCTGGCTTGTATAGTCAGATAAGTAGATGATCAATGTGTAACCGACAGGCAAACTGTATCTTTAGAACAAAACTTCAAATATGATAGTGAACCTAGTGCTTTCATTTATCCGTCATATGAAAATTCTCCAATAAAAAAGAGCTATTCACCTCAAATAGTATACAATCGCAAACACATTGATGATAAAAAAAATTAAAGATTAAAACTATCAAATTTGACCTACGATATATTTATCATACTCAAATACAAAATAATTTAGAGGAATATAAAAGAATTCTAAACAACAACTAAGTGAGAGATGTTTGTGAACAGTGAGAAAAAGAACAAGTGTGATGCATAAATGTAAAAAAAATTGTTCGTGTATATACGAATAAATATCCAATGCAACAAGTAATATGATATGTGCAATGATAGCATCAACGGATTTAAAGCTCCTCTGTATTTAAATGACGATATGCCACTTTGCTATTCAGATCAATTCTACTAACACGAGAACGTGAACAATACCCGCCGTATATATTGTACAATATATGCTAAAACATGTAAAATACACAGTTCAAGAATGAAAAAATAAACACCATTATTTATTCAATTGGCAGAGTAATTATTACAATAAAAAAGAAACAAAAACTATTTCTATAAATATGAATTGGATCTAATAATGTCACTTGCATTACGAAGGTCATCATTTAAAAAACCATCAACGAGGGTTAGACAACTATTTTTGCCTAGGTTGATTAACAGCCTCATGTCGTGCTCATTAAACACTCCATACGAAATCCAACTCAGGAGTATCAGATTCAGCTGCAAATACAGTCATTTTAGGCTACTGAGTTGACAATCAAGCAGCTGATTGAACGTGTACGCCCCATTTCATATACTTCGGTCCCAATAACCTGGAAGTATCTCTAATTCTTATGATGAGATTAAATACTATGTAAATAAACAGGTGTCTGGCAAACCAGTAATAAGTTGAAAATTCTAAGTACTCAGTTTTAGATTGCACCCCATACGTTTTTGCATATATTTGTGAGTGAAATTACAGGATAAGAATGGAAAATACATAACCAATGTAAAATATTGTGCAAGCAGAATGCCACTTTTCAACTAGGAGTCGTTTTACCTCAAAAGCACTGTTTAAGTGACAATTCATATTAATTTTGAATAACAATACACTTGAAACAACATTACATTATTACGAGTAATATGAGTTTAGCCTTTATTTATCACAGCACATTAGTCAATGCACAAATTCGCTATGAAGAATTATTATGCGTCAAAATGATTTATGGATTATTAACTGGGATAAAGTAAAATAGTTCTGTGAACCGAAAAGCATTTACTATACAACTGTTATATTATCGTCGACATTGGAAAAGGATTAAAAATTATGATTCAATTAAGTAAGTGGTAATATCAACATCCTTATGTTTACTAAAACAGAAATAACCTATTTTAATGGTATTACGATTATGGCTAATTCTAAAGATGCCCTAAGAAAAACATCGCCTTGTTCGCAAAAATAATATTCTCGTGATTTCAACTTTGTGGTCTAGAGATATCATTATACACGGAGAGGATAACTCTCTTTAAATTTACCGGTGTTACCTTACTATTACCTTTTCAGTTTGTTAACCGATTTTTTTTAACATATATCTATGAAACACTCAATTTTACTGTTTGTATCCGTTTATTTCATGGATAGTACACTGGTTAAACTACTATATACTTAAGGTTTGTTAAGCAAACATGAAATGTTTCTGAATTTTATTTATTACACTTCGCAGAAATGCTTACCTGAACTTGAGAATGGTTAGTCTGGTTTTCTGACAAATAAATAATGAACTAGTAATAGTGTAATTCATTCACTATACACAAGTTTATACACTCAGTTTTGAGTTTAGTGGTAAACTGGTAGTACTATTACTCGGCTGTTTAGATCGAAATTCGGTGCTTAGGAAAGCAGTATTCCAACAATAACAGTAGTAGTGTTCTTTGGAGAAAACATTACCATATCTGTCTACAGAATGCTTCGTCCTTCTAGTTCAAGGTCGACGATCAAAAATTTTCATCGCCAAAGGAATATTCGTACGGTTCAGGTACAGTGATTGATCAAATATAATCAATAGGTGTTGTTGCTTCAGGACTGGTCTGCGTCAACACCTGAACTAAGGATAGGGAGTGAAGTAGTCGAACGCGTCGACAACTTCACTTATCTTGGAAGTCTGATCAGCCCTAATGGGTTGGTATCGGACGAAATCTCAGCACGGATTCGAAAAGCTCGTTTGGCTTTTGCCAACTTACGTCACCTGTGGCGAAGGCGAGATATCCGTCTATCAATAAAAGGACGAGTATACTGCGCGGCAGTCCGTTCTGTTTTACTTTACGGTAGCGAAACATGGCCATTAAGAATAGAAGACACTCGTAAGCTACTAGTATTTGACCACAGATGCCTAAGAAATATTGCTGGCGTCTGCTGGGATAATCGGGTAAGTAATAGTGAGGTTAGACGCAGGGTATTAGGAAAGGATGGTAAATCAGTTGATGAGGTTATGAATCTTCATCGACTGAGATGGTTGGGCCACGTGTTACGTATGCCTGAACACCGATTACCACGACGTGCAATGCTATCCGGTGTTGGGGATGGTTGGAAGAAAGTTAGGGGCGGCCAAACCAAAACGTGGCATCAGTGCTTGAAGGCACTAACCTCTAGTCTGAGCCATGTTGGTAGATGCAGACTACTTGGTTGGGGTCCGCGTGACTATCGTAACCAATGGTTGGAGACTCTTGGTGACATGGCTCAGAATCGATCACAATGGCGTCGGTGTATACACTCGGTTTCTTCCCTTAAACTAAGAGATTAAAAGCGCTTCATATCTTTCTTTCTACTAACCAATTCTTTCTTCCTGTACTATATCTCTATATGCAATCTTTCTCTTATATATTACCACCTTTTACCTAACCACTGTTATGAATCCGGTGTTCATCTTGTTGTGCTGATGCGGTATGGCAACCTGGACCGATGCACATAAGTGCATGGTTCTTCGTTGTAACTGACTGACTGACTGATAGGTGTTTACGTTAACTAAAACGTGAGGACTCCAAAGGCTACCGTTAAATGTTACTGTACATACGAATACATTTGGAATAATATTACGTTTTCAGTTGTGTAAAACGTAGAACAAACTTAGTTCAAACCATTTAGAGGAATTGAAAATCTTATAAATAGTTAAAACAAACAACACCGTCAGACTATAAGCAGAACTAACGGATAAAGACTAAACAGCATTACTGTCATTTATCCGTAAAAGATTAAGACAAACTAATTATAAAGCAAAATAAAACGGGAAAAGGAAGGTAGAGCTTTATTAGGATCAAAAACCAAAGTGCACACATACATACACATCCTAATTACACGCAATGATAGGGGTGAGAATAAAATCTGAGTTAAGCACGGTAGTTACAATATGTGCATACACAGAATTACGTTACTGAATGAAGTTAGTATATTCAGTAGCATATTAAATTAAGAGAATATTCTACTTCATGAAATGTGTTTTTAAGGATTCTTTAGAAACAAGTAAATTACATAAAGAAATTAACCGGTGAAAAACAATAGAATAGACATGTTCCAGCCTAAGTGCATATAGATTATTAACAGTGCTTCACTGCAAATGCCTGATAAAGGTTGATTCAATTATTGGAACTGAAAAATTCCTGAGATGCCAAAAACAAAGTTTCTTTGTACAAATTTCTTCATAAAACAACAAAAGTGAAAATACTTAGAGAAGTAAAGAATTCTAGATATATTCCCTAGACTTTTATATAATGAGGCATTTAACTACGGGTTAAAGCTTTAGTTTAGATATCTTTATTAGATAACTATAAAAGAATGGTTTTATGGTAATCTTAATATGGTCGTAATTATAAGCTGTCTTTTGATTCACTGATTATTGTTCTGATTTTTTAACAGGTCAGAAATAACAGCCGGTTAACCATAGATTTCACTGAACTTTGTAAATAAAATATTCGGATAATATGGACGTTGAAATTTATACTCCGCTGTACGTTTTGATTCAATATTTTACTTTTTATTATTATCATTATTAATGGCTTTATTCAACATTATAGTTTGGTACAATATAGATGTACTCATGTGTATTCCAATTGCAATAGCACCGAGTTGTGACAATTTGTCTTAGTATTTTTTTTAAAATTGTTTTGAAAAAATGGGAACTGGTGTAACCTATTGACCATATGAGACAAATAGAGTAAGTTAACGAACTTATTGTTAATAGAGTGGAAGAATATAATACAGTCGACATACAACCAATAGAAATGGCTAAATAAATGCACTTAAGAACTTACACAAAGAGGTTTCCAAATGCACAGAATAAGCACAACTAGAATGCAGCATAGTACGAGGACGTAACTCACGGATATATCGGGAGTATCTAGAATAAAAAATAACAAGGTGGAAAAACAGCATGTGCTAGATATATTTGACTGTGCACTTGCTGAATCGAAATATAAAACATTGATTAGAATATAAGGTAGATATTTTAAAGGATTTTACTATAGAATCTGTACAACCATAAACACAAACATTTCCACAATAATAAGCTACAGAAAATAGTAACAAATGAATATAGATAAGTGATAACGTCATATTATTTGTATCGTTAAACCAAAAGCTGAAGTTATAGCTGGTGGAGCTTAACCAAGTCGGATCGGAGGTATTTTTCTACCGATGATATCGAGTGACTAGATCCATAATTCGAGCTGACTAAAATCACAAGTGTGGGTCGTCGGATTACAGCTCAGTGGTTTAAAGGTAATGGAATTTCCTGAATAACTGGAAGATCTGTTTGATTCCGGAGTGAGCCTTAAACTAGGACAGAAAAGAGGTCTATTGCTCCATGTTTTTTCCTTAGTTCCCCAGCTGACGCCAGACCACGAGAACGTAAATGAGTCCGTTTTCAGCTGTTCTGTATCTCGGTTAATTTCGTATGCTTCTTAGACTAATCTTATTGCATAACAAAATTTCCTCGACAATGTGATAATAAAAGCTTAATACGAAACTTTTAGGGAATTGACGTACTCCGGACACACTAGAACCAGAAGACAAAAAGTATAAGGTCCAAAAGGTATAAGAGGTGTGGTGCATTGTGTAGTGTACGAATTGATATATCAATCAACAGTTTGGTGTGTGGATTGACGCAGCGACCAGTCGTTGGGTGAATTGTTGTGTGTTTATATAATCCAGATAGTTAAGTGGCAAACATACAATCACACATGTAGAAAAACTTGTTATGAATAAAAATTTTATGATAAGCAAATATAAGATTATTAAAGTGAAAGAAAAGAATACTGATCGATCGATGATAATCAGTGATGTGATGTGGCTGTCTAAGAGACCGAATAATTAACATAATCGATGTCATATAGAATCAAAGATAGAACAGATAGACAGAATAATAGACATTTTATGTACTAAAATGACATATTTATACACACAATGTTATCATAAAATAAACACGATATGATGTCTTAAACGATTGGAGGAAGTTGGTTATTAGGTCGGTTAAAATCTTATTGATAAGCCCAATTCTTGGAGAGAGTACACGGATGAAAACCCATAATTGATCATGTGAATAAGTATGAGATATTTAATGGGATTAAAATACATAACGTATATGATTGCCAAATGAATTTCGTGTCTTATACCTGTTTAAATTACCACAGGCTCGCATAGGTATATGGTTCAAGTGAATAACATGAGGCTGCTATATCATAAACTATCTTCAAATTTTCCGTAGAATCTTCAAAACGGCATTAGTCACGATTCTCATAGGGATTATCCATAGATTTATGAATTAACGGAAATGGATTGCATGAAATGGTAAGGTAAATCTAAAATAAAATTACTTAAAGCATTGAAACGTGAATAAACTGGTTTGAAGTAAGAGGTCACTAGAGAGAATATTGTGGGGAAAAAGATCGTATTGTTTTCTTAACGGTTATGTAGTATTAATTAAAATCGTTTGTAAAGTCTTAAGTAACTTATTATCTCATACATCCTGATCCCTTGATAAATTCATATAACGCAAGGAGAGAAATATTCGCAGAATGTAATGAATTCATTATATTTCACGGTGTTTCATCAGCTGCAAATGGCCGCAGTCATCGAAGTTCAATTCAAAACGAATTAAGAAACAAGCGAAAACAACATATTTAGCATAATAAGACTGATTAGTATCTATATGCTGAAGATGAAATCATAAAAAGGATAGGAAGTAAATTTGTAGGTGATAATAAAGAGACAATGGATAAAAACGAGTTGTTAATGAATGAGTGATAATAGTTTGTTACGGCTCAGGAAATAATGTTGAATTTTCTGTTCATGAATCAAAAGGATGTACACATAAAAAGACGCAAAAGTCCCCAAACGACGCCTTTGAGGTACGTTTGAAGTTTGCGGTATCTAATATATATTGTTTGAATACCGTTGAATCCTAGTTTATAACTCATAAATAGCTTTAGAATTTATACTTAAAGAGATATGGGTCGACTGTCAAAAAGCGAGCCCGGAGAAGCTCTAATACTTCAGATAATAACACTTCTCTTGTTACCTATTCCCCATGCTCTGCTACTCCTTTTGAAGCTGATAATCTTGGGAGTGGTCTTACACCACACCTGATGCTGGATGACTCTGTCTCTAATTTAACAATGAGTTCCACCTCAAGATCAAAAGGTATCGATAATATTAAGAGTGAATTAAACACTATCTTTAGGCAACTAAACAACATGCGTTCTAAAGTTGAATCACTTGTTAGCTCTTTATCAAAGCATGATGATCTGAAACAAGAAATAAAGACACTGTCATCCCTTAAACTGCTTTTGTCAAAAGATATTATTCCTGTGGAACTTGATGACATTATAAAAGCAGAATCTGTTATCGACTTTATCGCTAATAAAGTTACCAAGCGAATAGTCTCTCGAAATAACGTGGTTGTCCATAATATACTTGACAAAATCTCCATTAAAACTGCAAGGAATTCGATATTAAAACATCTAACCTTCAAGACAATCCATGCCAATGCATTCGACTTAATAAAAAGCACCAGAAATACTCGCGCCCAGTCTTGTTCAGATTCGATTCTCATATATTAGCTGAACAGTTGAAAGAATCCGGGCGGCTAATCTGCGCGCTTACGAAGTTTAGAAACGCTCGTATAGTCTCAGACAAGACCACCAATCAAAGACTTACGCAAGAACGTACCTTGAACGAAAATAAAGGCGTTGAGAACATAACAAATCACGATGCATCAGCTGCTGGATCCACTGACGCAACTACCCTATCTCATGTTCTCTAGTACTCTGATTTACCAACTAAGAGTGCTAATTCGCCTATTATGCCTGTAGTGACATCTGATAACCAATGTACATCTAATGACGATACTAATCCGATGTTATCCACTTTACCATTAGAAGCCCATAAGCAAATAATTTGTTCTAATGCGACAGCTCTTAAAAACACTGTCAAGATTAAAAAGTCTATGCCACGTAAGAAGAATGTATGTACAAAACCTTATGGTTCTAGACCCAATAACAAAAATATTACGATGGCCCTACCAAATAAAAATAAGACTGTACTTCCCGAAACCATGCTTTACCCTACGCATCGTAGGGGAGGTTATAAGGGCAGACTTGATTCAAATGTCTCACAAGACGGCCACTGCAATCATTATGTAAGCATGCCTAATATTTTGCAGAACACAGTAAACCAACGCACCCCACGGTTATCCTCAAACGTTTTAAATAATAAACCTGTAAGACGTAACTTTTCTCAACACTCTTCCATTGGGTAAGATGGACTACTAGGTTACTCACCATCAACCCAACCCCAACTAGCAGGTGCTTGTCTTAACTGTCCGCCTAGTCAAGTTCAACAAGTTAATCCACTTTATCAAAATAATGATTTTTTTGCCTCCAGAAATCCCTGGTCCAACTAGCAATACAGTTTGTTCAAGCGATAGCCCATACGATCAGTCAAACATAATAAACCATAGTCTATGCAAATTCAAACTACATAACATCAATAGGGAAGCTCTCGGTTTTTTGACACTCCATACTCCTTTTTTAAACTTATTACTTATCAATGCACGTTCACTTCTGAACAAAATTTCAGCCTTGAGAACATTAGCTTTTCTAGCCAAACCTTCTTTCATACTTATCACTGAAACATGGTGCTCTCAAGCAGTATCTGATTAAGAATTAAATATCCCGAACTATCGACTCTATCGCTGTGACAGGGAAAATAAGCGAGGAGGTGGTTGCATTATATATGTTTTGGATACCATAACAAATAATAAAGTTGAAGATAGTGTCCTGAATAATTTACCAGAATCAGTCTGAATATCAGTCAACACCCTAAATCATAGTCTACTCTTTGAATGTATATACAGAGCTCCTGATAGTTCGAGTAATGTGGATAACTTTGTAATCAATGCATTTATACATGCATCTGCTCAAAACTTTAATGCTAAGGTTATCACTGGGGGTTTCAATTATCCTGGGATTAACTGGAGTACCGGTAGTTGTCAGTCATGTAAAGATGAGCTCTCGGCAACCATCAACATGCGCTACTGTTCACAATTGGTTCTTACGCCAACATGGGGTGATAGTATACTCGATCTAATATTTAGTAGAGATGTTATCCCACTATCTGTAAAAGTATACGAAGAATTTGAAAGCAGTGACCATAAGATAGTAGTTTGCGCTCTCCCTATCTGTCCCTCTTATAATCGACTCATTCAAAAAACTTATCAATATAGAGACTATAAGCATGCTGACTGGGACCTCCCGCATTCACTAATTAAACTTTCAGACTATGATAACTTTTTTTCATGTTATAGTCCCATGGATGCTATCGACGAATTCTATCTGATCGCTAACTCTTGTTTGGATTCCTGTGTACCTCTTATAACGTACAAGTTTAGTAAACCTTACGAACAATATATACCAGCTAAATATCGTAATAAACTAAGACGCCTACAGAATCGTTATCTTAAGTCAAACGACTTAACGTCATTTGCACAAATAACAATAATTTTTAATCAAATTAAAGATAAACATAGATTAAAAGCCATTAATGAGGAGATACTAGCACTTTATACCAACTCACAGGTACAAAACTTAACTCTCCTTTTCAATAAACGCGCTAAAGCAACTCAAAATGTTGATATACTATGCATCCAGCATAATAGCACTTTTATATATGACTCAAAAACTATAGCAGACCTTTTCAGTGGTATTTTTGAGAATTGTGTAGGAATCATAAGTGGCTCTGTTTCAAAAGTTATGTGCGTGACTGGTAACTCAATAAAATCTATCTCCTTCACATTCATGAAAATTAATAAGGCTATAAATACCCTTAAGCTTTCGAGAGGTCATGGAGCAGACGGGATTTCATCCTTTCTCTACAAATATGGTGGTCCATATATTCCACTCCTTCTTCTAAAGCTGTTTACTCTCTCTTTCTGGAAACTGGTTCTTACCCTTACTGTTGGAAAACGGCGTACATCATACCACCTTACAAATCTGGAGATAAGACTGGCATGAACAATTATCGGCCGATAAATATTACTCCAGTTATCTCTAGGATTATGGAAAAAAACATAAGCGATGAACTTTCCAACTATTTACTCGCTGGAAAATTTATCAATGATACTCAAGATGGATTTCTTAAAAATCGATCTTGGATGACATGTCATTTTGATTTCTTTAATTTAGTCTATTCTCTACGTAGCCAAGGATATCTAGTCTTAGTTCTATATCTGGACATTTTTAAAGCCTTTGACATGGTTAGCCGCCAACTTCTTATGGGTAAACTTGCATCTTATGGGGTTCAAAATCCTTTGCTAGACTGGTTTGATTCCTTTCTCAGCAATCGACATCAAATAGTTAAAATTAACTCTTCATTGTTTAACGTTGTCCTTGTTAGAAGTAGTGTAATACAAGGTAGTGTCTTAGGCCCTTTGCTCTTTTTAGTGTTTATTAATGATATTTGTGAAAGTTTTTGTGTGGGTAAGCCCTTTCTATATGCGGATGATCTTACATTAGTATATTCATTTTTTCCATATGAGCTGAAAAATATACAAAACTACATCAGCATGGAGCTTAACAAGGTAGCGCAGTGGTGCTTAAAATAGCAGCTGGAGCTTAATACGGCTAAATGTGAATGGATATGCTTCGGCGATACATCACTCAACCTAGACCTTACCATAAATGAAGTGTTATCTAGGTTACATACAGTAGTAGACTTGGGACTTAGATACTCTCAAGACTTGTCGTTTACAGAACAGATATTGAAACAGACCTCTAAGTCTCAACGTCTAGTACGTTACATAACTCGAAACCTTTATAACAATGAGTCACGTATTTTAATGTACAAAGTTTGTGTTCGACCATTCCTAGAATATTGAATGTTAATTCTTAATACTGCGCTCATAAAGGATAAATTAAGGCTGGAATCAGTACAGAGACGATTTACACTTCGTATTCTTGGAGCTGATTGTACCTTAACTTATAATTTCAGATGGAATAAACTTGGGCTAGACCCTTTATGGAGGAGGAGACTCAAATTAAATCTTATCTTTTTCTTCAAACTACTTCATAAACTATCGTTTACATCCGATCACGCGATTCAATATGCAGAAACCTCTCATTATGACATCCGTAATTCCTTGGCACTAGTGAAACTAACTCATTCTAAATCATCTCTTTATATGAATTACTTTACCTGTAAATTTTCTAGACTCTGGAATAACCTACCACAATCTATCCGCACGATAAAATCACTCCCATTATTTGTTCGCTGCATCGATGAATACTGCTCCTCTGAAAATGCATTGAATGATCTAGCGCCTTTAAGTGTATCTCATTCCACAAGTGATATTTTAGGAACCTTAAATGTTTAGCCATCTTTATTAGTGAATCCCCTTAGTAAAACCACCCACTTGCTGTCAATATGTCAACACCGCCCCTAGCAACTTTGACTAATTTGAATAACACAAACAGTATATCACTGTGTCACATGACACACGCATTTAGGTAGACCTGATTGATATATTTTGGTAATTACTTTTTTGTTGTTCCGTGCTCACAGTTTTCGTTTTAATTTCTCTAGTTGTTGATAAGTATCATTAATTCGATCTGGCACACGAATTGACCTTAATTACACCGTTCATAAATCAACAGGCTGTCCATTTAAGAAATATTAAAAATTCCCGGCTGATGCATTGGATCGCTGTAATATATGTACTACTTAAACAACTACTGAACTAGTATACTTAAAACTTTCTTTTATCACATGTTTGTTCTGCACGTCTAACGTTATTATTGATATTAAATTGATCATGCCTGTAAACTGGCGTGAATCCTGTAATTATTATTTTCAGAATATATAAACTAGTGCTCTAATACGTGTGAAAAACGTAATACCTAAAGAATTCTGAACTATAACACTACAAATAATCTAATATATCATATGTCCTACGTATTTAATGTTACTATATATATCAAGCTGATCATGCCTGTTATTATATATAGTCGATACACCTATTTAACATAAAATTAACGTCTTGAGTGAATGTCACTGAGTTTTTTACTTTAAGTTACAAAACATATTAAGGAAATATGTAACTCATAAGCGTTAAAATAATATGACTATCTTATCACGGCACTTTCCGTTTTCGACAACAGCGAAAAACAAGCTAGAATTTTCGGTAAGAGAACAGTTAGCTGAAAATTTCAAAAGTAAAACATACAAAATGTTAAGTACTGGAAGAGTTTGCTAAGATCTCATAACTTTTTAAATAATGCTCAAGACAAAAAACTGCAACCTCAGTTGCTCAATATAAACCAGTGAAAGCAGACCATTTATAGGATGCATTTGCCAAATATTTTTGATACTTGCGAAATTATGTCACGAAGCAATAACTGACTAACGACGAGCCACGTTCACCATTATTCTCATATAAATGTTGACGGTTTCAAAATCAAATAATAACACATTTCACGTTTCATACATTACTACCTTATTTTACACACAAAAACATGGACTTACATAATTTATCGTGAACTATAGTACCAGATTCGCCTTGATATATGAACCCATTGGATTTCTTAGACTCAGATTCGGTAGAATGCTTTTTGTCAAATATAGACTGTCCGGGATCTATCTGTGGCCCACTATCCTCGGAATCTTTTCTTCGTGGCTCTTGTATTAGATCAGCATGTGAATCGCCTGAATGGATAGAGCTTTCGCCTAATTTGTTTTTTTCAAACTCATCGATTTCAGCAACTTCTTCCTCTTGGATAGTATGCGTTCCAGTTGTTATACGTCTAACCTCTGTAGTTTTCTCTGATAAAAATTTATCCAACTGCTTAGTAGAATTCGAAAGTTTGATAGTCGGCATATCTTCGGAAATAACGGTAACGTTTGATGTTGTAAGCTTTAACTGACAAATCAAATTTATATTTACCTTTCTACTACTTACTTTCGGTGTAACATTAACAGATGTGAAAACATAATCCAATGTAGAAAAATTGGATTTAAGGAGTGACAACTAATAATTTTGTCGTTTAATATTTAAAGTTTGATATTACTTACATTGACATGGCTGTTAGTAGTTCTCGCGATACTAACTGAAGAACCGTTGAGTAGATTGTTGGATTCATCTTTCAGAGCATATACATGATAGAATAGTATCCAAGTTAATTTGAATGCCAAACAATAATTCACTATTAGGGAAAACAAAATATTACTTCATCGAACTTCTTTTAATTTTATGGTACAAAATGACGGGAATTAGTCAGAGACAAAACCAAATAGATGGATAATAAGATTAAACTACTCTGAGTTTGATTCTCCTCTACTATACTATGTATAGTAAAACAGACAAGTGAATTTTCAGGAGCACTTCAATAATACTTAGCGTCAAATAACTAACAAAGGTTGGTTAAAAATAGCATAGGACGCATGAATAATGTTAATGCGACGTTTCCTACATACATTGTTACGTATTCTGCATAATTCCATACCCTAGTAAGAAGGCTAACGATACCTCTTGACTTCTGAAACCACGGTATGTATAATAGGGTTTGCGCCCCCCCCCATCTAATTGAAAGCCAAGTATTGCTAAACCAACTAAATCCCTACATTCATTGCCCTCAGATAGGCATACATGGAACAAACTTCTTGGGTTAGGTGATAGAAGTTATTCAATATCCCTTAAACAGGGAGCGAAGTAATTGAGCATGTCAAGTACCTCACTTATTCTGGAACTTTCATTAACCCTGATGGGTCGGTATCGGAAAAAATTCCGGGAAAGATTCAGAAAGTCTAGTTGGTTTTCGTCAGCTACAGGAGGAATACAACACTCAACAGTATCATCTGTTTTACTTTGTCTTTGCGCAATATGTTCTTCAGAAATAGAAGGTATTTGTAAGTGACTAGTACTCAATTACAGATGCCTTCTAAGCCTTTCTCATGCATTCCGGGACCACTGAGTGAAGAATATTCGGTTGAGATACAAAGTAATGCCAGAAAATTAATTAGTGAGGTCGAGAATTTTTATCTTCTGTTTGGAACATGTACTACGTACATTCAACTACTGCGTACCTCGAAGTGCGGTGATAGTTAATGTAAGAATAAGTTAGAAGAAAGACAGGGGTGCCAAAACTAGAACGTTGCACTACTCTATCTAGTCACTGGCTGCTGAACTGGGTTGTGCGGATAGATGCAGACTACCTGGGAGATTGCTGTAATGAATGGTGAGACTTGGGTGAGACAGTTCAGTCTTTCAGGATATTGCAGTTGCATTTGCTCTTTGTCTTTCCTCAGATATTAAATTTTTTTTAATTATTTCAAAAATTTTGTTCCTATTCCTAGAATCCATATTTTCTATTAAGAATCTTTTCTAATACCACTAATGCTGTTACAACCTAAACTACTCTGGCGTCTCACTGTGATAGTATGGTGTAGCAACGTAAACTAAAAAGCATGTGCCGGGTCCTACTTCTCGGATGATTGACTGGCTGGATGAGACTAAGCTGCAAACGTTGAAAGTGATGAGGGCAAGACTATAATTTATGAACGAACCAATCACGTATAAGATAAAAGGTCTCGGATTTTGGCGCGAAATCCACTCATTCATTCGGATAGATAGAGTTTTGGCATTATAACTAATATCAGATCGTGACTAAAACCCTAAATATAATCTCTAACCCTAATCACCAACTGTAAGTCATAATTCTATTTCCTCACACAGGTTTATAACCCTTATTTGGTCCTGGTTATTAAGTGGACACTCTCAAGGTCAGCCTGGTGTCACATAAAGGTCGTCCAGAAATTATAGTCTCAAGTTTTAACGGAGTGAAAAGTGTAAGAACAACTATGTCAAACATTTCATTGAGAGTAACGCTCTGGTAAGGAACCGGTTAGTAACAGACAACTTGTAAGTACTAACAGTGACGAACTAATGACAAAAGTCAGAATTACAGTGAAAACAGGGACAAATAAAATAAGAACACAAGTTTATATAAGACTTAAATTAGTAGCACAGAGAGATATATACCACTGAAAACTATCGATCACAAGCGCCCGTCTATTGGAAATCAAGAAGTTTTTAGTATCAATCCCAAATACTTGTAATTTAGGATTCACATGTCACATTCAATTGACATTGAAAAAATTATTAGTTGGTTCTAAAATCTATCAATAACACTTCAAACAACTGACAGATTTATTACCATACTAACTTAGCAACTAGTTGACACAAACTAACTGATTCTGTGCTTGTGTATTGGTATTAGGAGACTTTTCCAGACCACTGATGGCATAGTGTGGTTAGTTGAGCAATCCCTACTGCAATATACACAGAAAATTCAAAACGTATTAAAGACGATATTCAGTGAGTCTGTATATTACAATCCGGTCTTCTTTCAACGCCCTCTACGGAGGCTACTTGTGCCACGTCAGTAGCGAAAGCTTTACATGCACCACATACACTAATGGGGAAATGTGGGGTTAGAGTTGTGTCCAACGCTGGTTGCTTCTTCCTTAACTGCTAAACGTCTTCTGATTGTACGTTTCTGTTTCCCCATTATTATTATTATTATTATTATTATTATTATTATTACACTACCATCGACGACATTCTGGAAACAGCTTTGATGTATATAGGTAATGTTAGTGTGGATCTGTTGCCTGGAGAAAGACTTCTCGACCTTGAGTATGCGGATGATATTGTCTCACTGTGCAATAATACTCGAGACATACAAGCCTCACTAAGTCGGTTGGCAATTAGTGTTCGTAGGCATGGTATGTGATTTGCACATTCGAAGTGCAAAGTACTTTTGCAAGACTGACAGGACCCTGAACCTGCACTCAACCTGAGTAGTAAGCAGATAGAAGTAGTCGAGAAGTCCGTGTATCTAGGTAGCTGCATAAGTGCTGGTGGGGGTATGAGTGATGAGATCAATGCACATATAGTGAAGGCCAGAGCGGCTTATGTCAATCTGGGCCATCTTTGGCGCCTTCGTGATGTTAGTCTGGCTATAAAAGGTCGGATCTACAACGCGTCGGTGAGAGCAGTTTTGTTCTATGCTTTTGAACCCTGGCTTCTCCGAGTTGAGGATGTTAGACGACTCTCTGTGTTCGATCATCGTTGTTTCCGAAGGATTGCCGACATCCAGTGGCAACACCATGTTAGTAATGCAGATGTTCGGCATCGTGTGTTCGGGCACAGAGATGATAATGCAATCGGTGTCCCCATCTTGAAACACCGACTTCGGTGGCTTGGACATGTTCTACGAATGTCGTCCCAGGAAATTCCACGTCGTGTATTATTTGCCGACGCTGGGACTGGTTGGAAAAAGCGGAGAGGTGGTCAGTGTATGACATGGTGTCGTGGTGTGAAAGAAAGCTGCAAAGGGCTGGCTTGTGTTGGTCCTTCACGACTCCTTGGATGGGGTCCACGAGATGGTGCAATACAGTGGCTAGAGACGTTATCAGATATGGCTCAGAATAGAAGCCAGTGACGATCCTGCTGTAACCTTTTACTTTCTTCATAAAAAGTGGTTGTATCTTGATTAACTGAAGATTTCTTCTGATTGTACCTTTCTGTTCCGCCATTTTTACCATTATTATTATTACACCACCTTACATCAATCTTTTTATCCTCCTTCCCCTTAAATTCTCATTGTTTTGTGTGGCGCATATATATTTGGCGCATTCTTGTACCAATATTTATGTGTTCAAATAAATAAATAAATAAATTACACTAATCTGTTCGTTAGTTTTTTTGATACTCCTCACCTTCTATTTTTTGTTTCCTTCTTCTCTTCAAATGCTCATTGTTTTGTGTGGCGCATATATATTTGGTATCCTCTTGTACCAATATTTATGTGTTCAAATAGATAAATAAATAAATAAGAGTTGTGTCCGATTCTCGCTGAGTGACCTTTCGTTACATGAACTATGGGTCACTGCCGTGACAATCACCTTTAAATAATCAGTTGAGATAGTTTGAACTACTCAGTATAGTCGGAAACTTGATGACACATCTTTTAATGAGACACCACCTAGTTGATATGAGCTATAGACCAGGTGGATCAATTCGAGATTCCGATAGTATGGATGTTTTGTGCTAGCAAGAATCCTGGGCAACACACCGTCAAATCACCATAAGCAACGTCTGTAGATATGAAAAATCCGTTGATTTTCATGAGTTAGGAAAAACAGCCTGGGGTTTTAGTGCGTCGAACTGCCGATAGTTATTCCTCATCTATTCTGCTAACAGCACCAGATCCCCTAGAAGCCCCCATGAGACACTTTTACGTCATTTATTGTGACAAGGATTTTTGTGAATGTCAATGAGATTTAAGAGTGGCAAAAAGATTGTTACGAAACCAAAACATGGGCGATCTTCAACTCATCAGGACAATTAAATTTACTGAAACTCAGGAATCGGACATTTCGTCGCCGACAGAACATGAGGTTCCTGGAACTCATCAGCGATATTTGAGAGCAATTGCAAAAATTACTTACGAAATACATCCACTTATAACTCCTGATGGTATGTGGCAATATCATCTTGAAAGGAATGAGAAATAGCGTGTCACCAGGTGTGTTCTGGCTCTAACATGTCGTTTAGTTGTATCACGCTGACAAAACGCTTGCTTCTCAAGACCTCTCAAATACTTGGTAAATAATTTCTATCACATGCGACACTTACTTGCAGCAGTAACGCAAGACTTATACATTGCGCTTCAAAAGTTCAAATAGTTCGAGTTGTTTTGGACCGAGCTTAATGAGCTTCCGTATCTAGAAGCATTTAATCACCAATAACTCCACTCAGAAACGTGTGAGCCTCCTCATCCTGTTTATCTGTATGAGTCTTGAATGAATAGTCAGGTAACCTACCAACACAAAGTTTTCCGAGTTGGTAGCTCATATATTTTCCACGTTTTTTATTATCTATACAGTCTACAATTGGAACAGTTAGCTCCATATTGCTTTTGTGCTTGATCCTGGCATCAAGTGGCCTGTCCGGATACGTATGGATTCGGTAAGCAGCCGGCATCTGTTGACACGAAATGCTTCGACAGCGGCAGCCGCTACGCGAGACGCCGAGAGTGTAATCTTCATTGACTATTGTCTTCAGTCCTTGTCCTTTTTGGCTAGTCTCATCCATTGTTAAGTCAATATGTTTCTAATCTTCAAGGACCACTTTACAATTTTTCACTCCAGAATATCGTTGTCTGCATGATCAGGGTCCGTGTTTTCTGGAATACCTTGTACAGTAATGTTTCTTTCATAAAAGAACATCTCGTGGGTATCCCTCGTGATTTTACTAATGGGGTTTGGACCAGAATATAGTGTATTATTCAACATATTTACATCCTTTTCTGATTACAGTAAGCGACTGGTCCACAGAACATCTACGTCAGAGGTGTTAGCGTACGCTACACGATGTGCTTGTTATCCTTTCCCACGGATAAGCCAATGTAACCACTAGTGGCTCAATTCTTGCATGTTTTAACTTTTTTTGTATCCTTCTCAAAGCATCATGTCGTTTGTGTCTCGCAAGGTGATAGGAAGGTCAGACCTATCTCTAAGGGCCGTGATTACTGGAGAGTCATAGTTTCCCCAGACTTTTGGGAACGTTGAGGTTGCGACCGGTTTTGATGAGCAGTTAAATCGCAGTCTGAACTACCGTGATCCTCCTGAATTTGTCGAGTAATCTATGGAGTGGACTGATCTCTAGTCAACGGGCGTGATTCTAATATATCTACAGGGACACTTGAGAACTTAGGTCGTCCCATAGCAGCGTTATGAATTCGTAAGTTATTACAGACCCTTATGTTAGTCCTTGTTCGGTCTCATAGCAACGCAGCTAATAATCTAGATTCCGTTGTACATTTGATTCTGTAGATTAACGAAACAGTATCCTTGACGTACCTCTTCCTGCTAAACATGGTTGATGAAGCCTGTAGGACCTTCTTGAGAAGAGGTCACATAGAATCACGGTACAACCGGCATGTTGCAATAGTTGTCTCTACGAATTCTTCTATACTTTGTTTCATTTTTTTATCCAGTGATTGCTCTCTATAGCTGTGCCACAACCGAGATTAATCATTCCTATTTTTAGTTGATAGATTTTTCTCATCCCTGATAAGGACGTTGGTATGAACCGTTTAGAACACTTGCTTCTTGAGTATGTAGGTAACATTAGGATTTGATTGTGTTTTTATTGGTTATAAATTGTGTATGTTGAGGTGGCAGGTTTGTACATTAATTTTAGCCTTACTAAAGTCTTATATGTCTCGTTTACGATAGATAAGAGGACACTGACAGTTGTCTGATGTATTCATAATTGAAATTATTGAGTAACAATCTTCTTCATGGTGTCAACTTATTTCTTTTACTGTTGCAAATATTCAGTTACAATGTTTGTCATGATAGATATGAGTGAGTTGTCATGTTCCTATAATTTGGGCGTGGTACTCATCATAAGCGTTGATTATGCCCTTGATTCGTTCATGTGTTCAGTTAGTTGGTAGTTTATCACTCATTTCTTTTATATCTTGAAGGAGCAGTTTTGTAGAATTATGACTTCGTTCGGTATTATTACTACCAATTTAACTGACGTAATCCCAAAGTCTTAGATTTGCAATGATATAACCGCTCAATGTATAAGATCTTACGTGAAAGTCACATCATTGTCCACAATGACTCGTTCTACGTGACGATCAACAAGATGATGTCTAGCATTTATGAAAAGCACATTTGAGATGGGAAGGGAGTAACATATTCAGTACGAAAAGCAAGAGGTTGTAGTGACCGCACCTGCATGACTGAGCCATTGCATCTTGACTGATTACTCCAGCGTTCACCATTGTTGATCTACTCCTATTGTTACGTGCTGAAATGACTTCTATGCAACCTCAGCCATTATAAGAGTTGACTGTAAGAGAATCAGGGAAGCTCCGTACTCTCTAGAGAGGAACGCAGTGGTTCGGTCTAATCGAATAAACTTTGCTTTGTTAAATTGTTTTCGGCATTCAAAATGCAATATTCAAGTTTTTAGCACAATACATACACATAGGTGTTGGAGATGACGCGAAATGATTAAAAATTCAAGTCACACAAATATCTCAACACTGTCAAGTACATAGCCATCCAAATGTTTCGGGGAACTGTAACAGAAATGTGTTGCATGATAGAATTAACTACATAGAATCTCCTCCGCATTAGGCCGAATTAATGACAGCAAGATCCTAAGATGCTAATTTTCAGGCACTTTAAAGTTGTAATTAGTAACCATCTTTTGTTGTACAGTGCCTAATTCTGTCAGAAAAGCTTTGGGTCATAGTGTGGATGACCGACATCGTTAAGGTATTCCCTTAGTTACTGGGACCTCATGCGATTAGAGGGACATAATACAATAACAGAGTTATAACTGGAGGAGCGATAATATAAATAGAGAAATATTAATTAGGTCTGGACTATAAAATAGTTTATTAGGGGCACTACGTTTGTGTGTATGTTGAAACAAAGAGTATCATTATCTGGAAGTTGTAGAAGTAAATGAATCTTTGAGATATATAGTTTTGGTGCTAACCAATGTTAGTTGTATTGAGTACATGATTATCTAAAGTTCTGTTGAGCATAAGTATACAATATGACGCAACTCGTCTAGTAAGTGACCAGGTAAGATATTATACATAAAGATACTTTTGCAAACAATCCAAGTACATCTTGTATTTTATTAATCTTGAATTTTGGTCTAAGTGGCTTTGCAATTATTTCATCAGAAGATATTCAGATAGTAGAATTATCATATACCGAGTTTCCGAGGCCTGCTCAAAAATGCTCCAGGGGCTTTTAAACACACAAGCGATGGACCAAATTGCGACACCATAGACAATTGTTTCTCGGAATCAGACAAATTTTATCAAGCTAAATACCTTACTTATTCTGAAATCGGCTATACCGAGACTCTCTGTTCAACAGTCTGAAGAATAATTCAGAATATCCCCTGGAAATTACTTCTTTCAACCGGTATCAGATAAGGCTACTTATTTTTTCATTTTTTCTTTATCTTATAGTCATTTGGATTATGGGCAACTCTAAATTTCAGGAGAGGCGTGGAATACAATGGACAGCTTGGATGATTTTAACTTCTCAGGTGACCTAATACTTCTGTCACATCCACAGCAATAAACTCAGGTGACGACGGTTGGTGTTGAAGCAACCACTGCAGCAATATGCCTCAACATACAAAAGAGACAAAGCAAGATCCTCAAATGCAACACGACGAGCACAAAATGGATCACATTTGGTGTAGAGGCTTCAAAAGAGGTGGGGACTTTCACGTATGTGGGTCGTAACGTTGATAAGCAAGGGGGATCTGATGTGTATTTGAACTCATGGAGTGACAAAGCAAGGATAGTATTTCGACAATTGTAGAACATATGGAACATAAGACATCTGTCGAATCTTTACTACGATATTGATGACTTGACCCAGTCAGACTTAGCTACCAGTGTATTGGAGGGATTCAGCTGTTAATCGGATGCGGACTTAATACAAATTTCACCAAACTACAAAGCCGTTAGCCTCACCTCTAGTTAATACATCAAAAAAGAATATGAAGTGCCATTGTGACCTAAGTGGAACGCAATAACTTGTTAAATAATGAACCACACTACAAAACAAGAAGCTAGCCTCGTTATAGCAGCAAAGATGGATGTAGTTATATGATATCGGAAAACAAGTTGATGTTGTCCATGTTTGCTTCAGTCAAACAAGCAATGCTTCGTAGCAGATTGTTTTTGAAGTTTAAAAATGCAAGAACCGATGGGACCCTCTCAAAAACTGTCTGTTAGGTCGATAGCAAAAAGTAGGACGGAATTCTAGGTGTTAGATGATGGTTGGAGGTAGTCGACAGGAAACTCTGAATCCGGGTTTCGTGCTACTTGGCACCCGTCAGCAAGATGTACCTGTAATCTTAAGGGAACTAGTGCTCCCCGGCGGATTCGATCCCGTGTCACCCAGCTTCACAGTCAGAGACGTTACCACTGAGCTACCCGGGTCATCACTGCCCTCTTGGAAAACTGAGATGTAATCAAAATTGATTGATCACTGAGTGGTGATCAATGTCATGTGTGTCCAGTCCTTATTTGGTTCAGATCGAATGCTATCGATCATGAATTCTAAATTAGCATCAGGTTTTCGATCATAATTATGTTCACTCAATATATTTTCTTCAGATTTGAAAGAAATTTCATCAGAAATATATGAATCATTAGGAAAAACCATATTTGGTACAATAACATGAGAAATCTGATAAATCGATTGGTTAGAAACTGTTGTCTTGCAAGAATTCTGAATTTCATTTAACTCTGAACTGCTATATGAATCTACACTGTCTTTTGAAATCGTTGATAAAGATAAATCATTATAAATACTCAACTTAATAGAATCAGAATTACAAGACTTAATATTATTTGTAGCAAGATGAACAGTAGTATTACAAACTGACTGAATGTGTTCAATATCACCACATTTAAAGCACTTAGAATTACGAACTTTACATGAATTAAAAGAGTGGAACTTGCAGCAGGACAAATACTGACCAAACCTGTCCCCATCCTCGTGAGCTGCATCCAAACTCAATGAATTATCTGCATAAACTTGAGTATGGACTAGGTTGGGATGACTTAGTAATGTAGTGGAATTTTTTATATCCTTATGAATC